TTGGGAACGACCCAAACCCTGGAAGTACCCACGGTTTACGAAAATTTTACAAAGCCTCGTTTGACGTCAAAATCAGTAGAAAAACCCTTATTCAACTAAAATAACAATAAAAAAGCGAAAAAAGCTCATTTTGAGGCACATTGCAACGAAAAGGTTTGAAAAAACATATTTTCGAATGATTAAAGCTATGTTACTGAGTTTGGTACATTTTGATGTTCACCATGTCGAAAACCTCCTATACCAACCAAATTTATAACCTGAACAATTTGGTGATGCATTTACCGCCACATAGTCCAAAGGATGCCGCATGTGATTGCAGCGCAATGTCCACTAATGCGCAGTTTTATACCATTTTTGTTTTAGAAAAAGCGAGGAGAGGCAATGGTTTGATTCGCACTTTGTGTAGATTCTGAAGCGTTCCGGTCGTCTAAATCGAAAAGGTCCAAAACTTAAGTGAACTCTCTGATATGCATGCTCCGAACCAACTTTTCGGTTTGGTATTGTTTTAGAAACTAACAAATTCGGAAGCTGGTATTAGTCCACGCAAATTTCAAAAACTTTTCACATAATCTAGTTTGGGGTAATATTGTATAGACATGGCCAAAACCCAAAGTTTCTCATGCGTTCATAGCTTTATGTGAGCTAGTAGTGCCACTATACATAATATCAAGCTGCCTAGTGTAGCTCATTGGCACTACTGACACGTCAAGACGGGCTGCACAGTACCACAAGTGCACCATTGGTGAAGCGGCGCTGAAGTTGCTTCGTCTTTCTCTTTACGCGAATTTTCTTGTGAAATCGGAGGGGGAACGCGACTAGCCAGAGGGTGATAAGGCGTTTGGTGGAATGAGCATAATCTAAATCTCGCACCACTCTAGGCCTTTGAAGACGACGATAAGTTGAAACGTAAGGCCGCACTAACAAAAGGCTTCACCAAACCTCGTAACGGCATAACAACATCAACATCCCATGCGATTGTTTGTGCGCTGTAAACAGGCCATTTGTCTGTTTGAGTCTTGCATTTGAAATTCGCGCGCTTGCGAAAAAACACATTCAACTCGTAAGACCTGGTATGTTTGTAGATTTTCTTCAGGGCTCCTCTCACGACCTTACAAAAATGTATCCCTCATTGCTTCTAACTTCAAAAACGAAGTCCAGTTTGACCCCGGACCATTTGTGCTGGTCCCTGTTTAAACAACCTTCACTTTTGATGCCCTATCTCTAGACTATCAAAAGTATGATGCTGCAGGACGGGTAACAGTCCGTTGCAGATGGAACTTGAGTTTCCACGGCATTTCGGTTGAGTCTCTCCATTTCCACGCTTTATTCTTTCTGCCTGCGACTTCCTCTTGTAGGCCTGAGTGCCTGTGTACTTGTGTGACGCTGTCTTCTTTACACTTCACCATGATGCTCATGGTACCTGGAATGTTCTTTATTTCGTCTTTCTGGGGTTGGGTTTCAGCCGATACAACTATAGCCTGCTTTTCAAGTTCTGTACCTCATATTGCAACATTTATCATTACTGGTTCGTCAATAACACTTCATTAGCGTAGAGCAGTATCAAGGGACGTTTACTCCGAGTAGTTTTAAAAAGGCGTCCATCATGAAAAGAGCAAGAGAGGAAGAACTAGACCATGTTGTACTTCATTTTGAATTAAAGTTGAATACAATACGGTTGTAGCTGTCGTACGTGACTTGGAAGCGTTGTGGTGGTTAACTGAAGGTGGATAAGGCTGATTCTGGCACACTTCTGGCACAAGCGCTTCCGTGAAGCCTACTAAATATCTCACAATCAGACAATCGCTGGGGGCAGGCGGGCACCGGAAAAATAGATTGCTGATTTCTCGCACCCCGCTCGCGGATTTTTTGCAAAGCAATCAGGACTTTTCGGAAGACCGCTTGCTGAGTCAGCGGATTTTTGAGAGACTGCCTGTTGAATTTTTTTCGCTCTTATGTTTTGCAGATATATTGCTGAATCTCTGAGGAATTGAGAACTCAGCAAGCGGTCTTCCGAAAAGTCCTGATTGCTTTCCAAAAAATCCGCGAGCGGGATGCGAGAGATCAGCAATCCATTTTTACGGTGCCCGCCTGCCCCCGGCGATTGTCTGAGATCTTAGGACCCCTTATTGAAGGTTTTCCAGACCCAAGAAAGCTACACGCAATGGTTTGCTTCTCTCTATGTTGTTCCACACTATAGTGAAGTAGACGGCGTTGAGTGTACCTAATCCTTTAACGAATCCGCCTTCATTAAGTGACAACTTTATGATCTGTCTTCGGGTACTCGGTCTAAGATTTTTAGAACATGGCTCATCAATCAGATTGGTCAGAGTAGGTTGCGCAGTCTCCTATGCTTCCTTTCTTTTACCATATCGGAATGGTTGTGCTGTTATACCGTTATACCAGTTGCGAGGCATACTCTGTTCCTCATGCTTTACTCAAAGGTGCCGACCCAAAAATCTCAACCTCGTTTTTGCCGTCCCAGAGCCTTCTCATACTCCTGATTCCGAATATCAAGTCGTAAAGCAGCGAAAACCACGAAAAACCCCAGTTTTCAGAGCCCGTAGAGGGATTTCTTCGGAAAGGTGATTGGTTGGGCGCGCACGGATGGGTGGGACAAACGTCACCTGAGGCGATTTCCGAAGCAAATTTCTCGTTTCGGAAGCAACTTTAGGCAGCGCAAGTTGAGCAATCATGCGATTGGGAGCCCTGGAGCTGCTAGGTTTCATAATCTCACCAACCCCATTTGGGTAGAAGGTGCCTTTAAGGAGACTTTTAGCCCCTTTCTTGCAGGAAATGCTTTTTTTTGAAGAGTAGAGAATGTTTGCGACTGAGAAGCTTATCTCCTACATTCCGCACTTTTTTAATTTGGACCATTTTCTCTTACGCCCCCCCCCCACCCCATCGCCTGCCCCTTTACGACCCCCCGCTGCGACAGTCACATCACACGCTTGACCCTGAATGAAATGCCCTGCTAACGGCAGGCTACGGGTTGCTAGCGGAGGCTGAAGGTGCGGTGTGAAGAAACCCTTGGAATAAATTCTAAGTTCCAGATGCTTTTTCGCATTGGATTCTGCTGATTGCTTACTCGAAGACCCTGCCGTAGCAAAGATGTGAAGATCTGCAACTACCACTACGTGAAGACGAATTTGATCTGATTGCATATCACATCAAGGGGTTGCACGTCCTCGTTAAAGCTTCTATAATAACTGCGATTTCGTGCCTTTTCGCATTAAATACCACAATCTGAAAATCTTGCTTTCAACACCGGACCGTAATAAAGCTCCGTCATTCCAGCTTGACTGAGGCGATGACTGCATAGGCTTACATTGCCGGCAGTGCCAAGAAAGCGATTGGTCTGCAGCTCCACCGCTTTGTAAATTTGCGCTTTTGCAAGGGAAAAACATCTTCGCCATTTGTGCATGTTTGGTAATGTGAGCTTTCAGGGATAGCCATGTTCGATTGCGGCTAACGACACCATTTACTTCGCTGGGCGATCTTTGAAAGCGGGCGCTATCGGAAAATTATTAATGAGGGATTTCGACTAGCTAACGAACATCAAAATAAAAGAACTGTTTGACATAATTTTTGTAAGAACAGTAGCTGTTGGAAGATATGTAGGAAAAATAAACTCCGTTGTGCATAGTGTTTCCAGAATTGAGTTATTGGGTTGTTTCAAAAGTTCTACCCGTTTCCGAACTTTGACTTGGATTCACTGTAACTCTTCTCAAAAATAATCTTTGCAGTTGCTATAAGCTGTATCACAATCTGCAAATCGTTGGCTGTTCTGCGCACTCTTCAAGATTTTTTCAGTAACAGTGGAGAAGATTTTATAAGCGAAAATCGAGGAACATCTCCTTGTAAATCTTCACTTTGCAAAAGCATAACTTGATTTGGGATATAGCTGAGTTACACAAGCACTGCTCGTGTAGCCCATAGTCGACGAGCAGTAGCGCTAAGTTTGGATCATCAAACTCTTTCATAAAAATTTTGTGCTGAGAAATCCGGAAGGACCCACTTATTTTGCTCTTTCTGAGGCTGCAAAAAATGCAATTTTTTGACATTTTTGATTTTGTTCGCCGTCGACAAACTAGGAAATCTTTTCGTTCTATTATAATAGTAGCAGTTGTTCTAGCTATAATTTTACTATATAGAGTAAAAGTTCCGCGATTGCAATATGTTTATGATCATTACACAACTTGAAGGGACCATAAAGTCAGGTTATGTTTGAGCTAAACAGCTAAACTAAAGCTGTTCGAGCTTTAAAGCTACCTAAAATCTTGTAGGTTCAAAATTTTTCTGAAATCTCTCGATGAGCGTTTCGTAGCACAAGTCTCCAGCAAACATTATGTATGTTCTAAAAAAAATTTTTTCTTTTGGCTGTAGATTCGCGGCGATAGAGCAAAGACGAAAATTTTCACATCTGTTTTGCTGTCTTTTCAAAGTACGCAAATACACAGCGAACAAAGATCTATGAAAACGAAAATATGTCTGAAAAACTAGAAGAAAAGAGCTTTTGCATGATATAAGCACTGTTTATGAAAAATGGTTTCTTCCCCCAAAATCGGCAGTTCAAAAAAAGGATATCGAACTAGAACTATTGAAACAACCCAATATTTTCTGCGAGGGATGTATGAGGCGGTTGCTATAGAGTAAGCAAACCACTAGACAATTGATCTGCTGATAAACTTCCATTCGAAGCATTTTTGTACTCTATCGCTATCAAAAACGGAACGAATCGTTGTGAAAACGGAACGAATCAAGTGTGTATGTCAGCAGTGCTTCACCTATTCCAAGGCAAGCAGACGAGAAAATCTTTCTGAGGGTGGGATTAGCTTACATCGATCCTATCTAATCGTAGGAACCGAAATTGTGTAGTTTTGCGCCACTCTTGGCGTCGACTTACTGATCGTAAGTTACTCACAAGCAGCTTACTGGATTTGTAATTCTCCGCCTTTGCACATTACCTCTCATCAACAATTATCGTCAAAAAACCTTTTCAGGGCTGCCAGTTGCTCCCTACCTCTATGTAGTGGCCCGAGATAATGGAAGCATGATACGATCTGAGTACTTGAATGAGACCGTAAGGGTATGTATAGGTAGTAGTAAAGTCGCTCAGACTGATATTGTAAGTTAAGATACTGGGTCATGCTTTGCACAATATCACAATGTTAAATCGAATAACTGGCCAAAACCAGAGCTTCGGTCACTTCTGCGACAGCTTCTGCTATTACAACGAGCCCATAAGCAACTTTCACGTGAGCATTTTGTATAAGTTTGTAAAAAATTCGGACATCAATGTAAGTCAAATTCGCTCACGAGAATCTTTCAACTTGAGGACTGAGATGTTCAGCAATAAATGTTATATATTTTGTATCTTTCTAGCAACATCTTCGCGAGCCAGGAGCGCAAAGCACTAATTTACAACTAAATTATCCCCAGTACGTGATTAATGATATACCAATCAACTTACAGGTTAGCGCACTTTCATTCCATTTTCTCATTTTTTCCTGAATGAAAAGATAAGGATTCCGAATGTTACTTCTGCTTAAGGATAATATAATATAAGCGGCGTTTTCATTGAAATCTGCAGTAATCTTTCCACTTACAGCGTAACTTCTTTGGTGTCGAACTGTACAACGATACAGAAGACCCTCTCCCGCATCTGCTAGGAAGCGCAGATACTGATTTACGTTAGTTTGTAACTGTACTTTCAAAAGCAGATTGAGATCTACCATCCCAACATGACATGACTGACAGGTACTACTAAAGCTGTGTCACAGTTTCAAATCTCATTTAGCGATGTGCTGTGCTGATTCTCATTGCTTAAGCCATTAGTATGGAACAAAAATTCATGCTGAGACAACCGCTGAATTCTTGTGGTCTGCACCTTGAGATCAAAACACTCTCTGAAAAAAATCCACTTTTTACGATTTCCGATTCCATCAGTCATGTTATCGCTGCAGGAAACAAAGACCATGATGGCTTGGGATACTAAAGCGGAGGAATGCAACGGCTTAGTGCAAGCTGGATGTCATGAGAAATTCCGAGGGTATTCAACTCCTTTCTGTCGTCCCTCCTCTTACACACGATATTCATCCTTGACGGTTATCTCATCGAAGTTTGGGTTTAACGACCTTTGCGAATTGAAGCCTTCTTCGACCTTGTATTAGATTATCTGGAAAATGATGTCGCATTAGCATCGCTTCAGCAAAACACGAAAAAAAGCAAACGGGGTACATCGTTAGACCAGCAAACTCTACGAGAAGAAACTGTGCCCCAAAAACATAACTACTTATTCTATATTCTGGACTTCTAATAAATTGATCATTCTTTATAACTTTTCTTCTTCCAAACAAATTAAGCAACGAGGCTCTAAGTGCCAGAAAAATTGGAAATTAGTATCTCCATCCAAAGAGTTTACGGACGCCCAACTTGCTTACGCACATACTCTCTGCTTTAGACACTCGTTTGTGGCTAGAAGCGAGAAAATTGACATGCATTTGCCAAAGCAATCCTGCGCTTTTCCTTAATAGTTGATTTTGTAAACATGAGTTTTCAGCCCTTTATAAGCGTTAGTTTGCGAAAAATATCAAATACATCACAAAAAAGGCGATATTCTCGTACTCTTGCTCTATATTGGTTTTTCTTGCTCTAGCCATAAAATACCGCCAACTGTACAGTGTACATGAAACACATGCGTATGCAAACCCGAAGACCTCAAAATTCTATGGAAAGAGTTCTCATTTTCAAGTACTCAAGATTTTCTATGTTTTGGCTTCAACTCACGTGGATCCTTGCAGAGCATGCTCTGCTCTGTCAAATGATGCCCCACTCACTGTTTCTCGCGTTCACGCTGCCAACTGACTTGGGCATTGGCTTAAAGGCAGCGGCTCGGCAGATTAACATACCTCAGATTTTGACACAGATGGATAGGAGGCCCTCCAAGTGAACCAAAACAGCAACTCCGCGCCGAAAATGTGAACTCTGCAAGCCAGGGGGCGGCCCAAGCGCCGCTCCCCTTCCTCCTTTCGCTCCCCTAAAACCTTGTTCGGACGAGTATTCTCCGCTAGACGGCGCGGGACCCCCCAACCGCTTTCCCGCATTGTGCATGCTATACAAAGCCAAAATTAGAGGCAGCAGGGTCTTCGTGCTAGGGCCTCCCGATTTTCCTGAAAATTCTCGTCCGAACTGCCTTTCGGAAATTGAAAAAAAGCGCCCCGAAAAAGGCGTTTTCACCGCTTTTAAAGCTCAGATTCGGGATCTACGGGTCGAGAAGGCCCAAAACATGCAAAAAGATGAAAATGCAAAATCTGCCGAGCCGCTGCCTTTAATTAGGAAACCTCAATGACTTTAGAAATCAATCTACTAGATATTAGGGTGGTCGGTAAAAAATGGGGCACCTAGAGAATAAATGTAGATTTCTCAAAAAAGAAAAGTGATTAAACTTCCCAATCTCATAGATGTTAGAACAAATTAGTCTCTTTCAGAAAATACCTATATAAGGTCATTTACATACCTAATAATTTTTATAGTGGCTGAAATGCAAAGTTAGTCACTTTGACAAATTATGAATTTCGGGCAGTATCTGCGCAGTGAAACATGTGAGACCGTCCAAAGTACCAGTGCTGAAGTGGGTGGTGGGACAGTCACCAAACCCACGATGGGTTGCTGGCCTCAACTTTTAAATTCAGGAGATATGGCCATTAGCAGTTTTGAAAACAAATATAGGTGCTAATTCTTTGCAGATGAACGCATGTTTTACAGGTGCCATCTGAAAGAGCTTTTTACGCTCTATCCATCCATATGCAGCTTAGCTCACATTAAATCTATCTTCGGAAAATACAGATTGAAACTTGATTTATTAGTTTTTGTTGCGCCAGGAAATCGCGATTTTTTAAAGGTATTTCGCTTTTTTTACCCAGAAATAGAAAGAAATCCTATATGCTTAATATATTTTTTGATAGAGCATGAAGAGCTCTTTCGAATGGTATATCAATCTTATATATAAAGCTGAATGTCTGTTTGTCTGTATGTATGTATGTCTGTCTGTGTGTACGTATGTTCCGAATAGAAAATTCCATTTCTAAACCGATCCGGACCAAACTTGGCACACATACACTTCGGGCCCCGGCGGGTGTCATAGGCTATTTTTCGTCATCGACCGATATCAATTTTATCGATTTTTATCGATTTTTTGCTGAGTTCACCTACGGGGCTGGGAGTTGGCACAGGGGGGTAATCGAGCATGGGGATTCCGAATACAATATTGGTTTTCAGGATTATCGATTACTTTTATCGATTTTATCGATTTTTTTGCAAAGTTTGAGCTACGGGGCTGGGAGTTCGCACAGGGGGGTAATCGAGCATGGGGATTCCGAATACAATATTGGTTTTCGGGATTATCGATTACTTTTATTGATTTTATCGATTTTTTAAATTTTGACATGCGAGGCTGGGATTTTGCACAGGGGGGTAATCGAGCATGGGGATTCCGAATACAATATTGGTTTTCAGGATTATCGATTACTTTTATCGATTTTATCGATTTTTTTGCAAAGTTTGGGCTAGGGGGCTGGGAGTTGGCACAGGGGGGTAATCGAGCATGCTAATCATCCCCAAGGGGGGTGATCAGCATGCTCGATCACACCCCTGTGCCAAATTCCAGCCTCGCATGTCAAAATTTAAAAAATCGATAAAATCAATAAAAGTAATGGACGATCCTGAAAACTAATATTGTGTTCGTAATCAGCATGCTCGATTACCCCCCTGTGCAAAATCCCAGCCTCGCATTTCAAAATTTAAAAAATCGATAAAATCAATAAAAGTAATCAATAATTCTGAAAACTAATATTGTATTCGGAATTCCCATGCTCACTTCCCCCCTGTGCCAACTCCTAGCCCTGTAGGTGAACTCTGCAAAAAAATCGATAAAAATCGGTAAAATCGACATCGATCGATAACGAAAAGTGGACTGTGACACCCGCCGGGGCCCGAAGTGTATGTGTGCCAAGTTTGGTCCGGATACGGCGGAGCCGGGTAAGCCAGCTAGTTGCTCTATAAATTTACGGTATGGCAGCGCAAAAATGAGCGATGTTCAAAAAACCCTGTTCGAGTTCTTCAAGGCGCCACGCGTAGGGTTGTGGGAGAGGAGCGTTGACGCTTTGCCAGAATAATAGGCGAAGGTCGCTTATACAAGCGATGTTTACGTTGCAGCCTGCTTGTTGTTGATCGAAACAAAAAATCTCAAAGTTTAATAAAAATCAAGCTGCGCCATTTTTTACCGATCACCCTAATACTCTTGACTAAAAATCAATAAAGTCATCTGAGACATCCCAAATGATTTGTGATTGAAACTGCTATAGACAAGATTGCTCAAGAATTTGGGCGTAGCAAGCGAAAAGTGGAAAGTAAATGATGACTAAATACTAGGTTGCTCCAAATGTTCTGTTCGATCTGCAAAGTTCCTGATTCAGATTATTATTACTTTATTCAGATGCAACGTTTTTGAAAAAAATAAATTTTGCTGGATTGAGCAAGTGTATGTCTATCGTCAGCGCAGTATGCCATATGTAGAAGTCAAGCGAGGGAAAAAAGACTACCAATGAGGGCGCGGCACAGGTGGCTTACGGGGTAGGCTGTATATCGTTTTTGAGGTGAAAGCGAAGAGGTCATCGTTTATGTGTAGGCGTGCGCAGCCACAGAAAAAATGCGTGTATTAGTCTGGTATGATGTATATCAAAAAGTCGCCAACCTCTTCGTGCAAAATCGAAGTCTCGACATTGGTGAAAAATTGGAAAATTTTTATATGGAAGCAGCCGAGTAAAATCTATGAGGGTTGAATAATTGCACGGCCATCAACCCACAAGTTTTTTGCAGCTCTCCAGTTCACACAAAAATTATCCCATCGCTTGTGTGGGTCACATGAGTCACACATGTGCCATATCCCATCACAATTTTCACAATTTTTACATAACCTTAAAGGCACCGACTACCCAAAATAGAGGTTGGCGAGATTAGGATGGCATACTAGTGTGGGCCCCCACACTAGGCAAGCCCCGAAGCTTCGCCGCAAAAGACTGCTTCTGGAGCGAGAAATCCGCTCCGGAAGTAGCAAAATAGGTGGGGCGACCATGATCGCCCCGCCCACTTGCTTTATCTCGCCTGCGCTTGTTGCAGAGGGTTCTCGAAACAGGGTTTTTTGAGGGTTTCGCTGATTTTCGACTCCATATTCGGAATCAGGGCTGACAGAAGGCCTGATGGCGACAAAAACATTGGAGATTTTGGGTGGACGGTGCCTTTAATATACATCCAAAACCTACAAACTTTCTTGGGCCTTCCGAAATCTCTCGCTTCCCGCATAGTTACAGCCGTGCAATTGTTTTGAATGGCGAAGGCAATCCTGCTCCAAACGGATGCCGTCAATTTCGAGAATGTGAACAACATTAGCTTTTCCATGGTCTCTTAAATTGTTGCTTTTGTATTTTGTTTATTCAAATTGTTTCCTGTCTAGTTCATTCGTGAGGTGTTATCATAGGGGATGTTGTGCTCTTGTTTCGAATGGTAGAAAAGGTCAGGTAAAGTCTGCTTCAATCGGGGTCAGGCCGAACCGTCGGCGTAAATTTGCGCGCTCGCAGCGCTAGCGGTCTGCGCTGCCTGTGCGCGCTGTCGGAGAGAGCAAAGCGATTGGAGAGAGAGAGCAGAGAAGTAGGCCGTGGGCGTGACCGCGAAACCCTTGAGACGCGGACTCCCGTCATGCCAATTTTGGCGTGGTTAGGATCGGGGCAGACAGTAGAATCGCAAGTTCATCCGCGCGTAATACAGAGTGTCCCAAAAGGTACACACTTTTCAATCACTAATATCAGGTTAGCTCGAAAGTTCTTGCGTAATTCGAACAAAATTCAATAAGTTTTCAATGCCTATACCTAAATTCACATCATTGTCCTCTAAAAATATTAGAAGGCTTGCGCTCCATGATGGACTTCTAAGCGCAAGATTCTATGAGCTAGCCCCCGAGAACGAAGCTCTCAAAGATGAGGCTTCAATATTGCGATTTTGAGTTTGGTCCCAGAAAATTGCAGAGGGTCGCTAGCTCGCCGAAAAAAATCTGTAAAAATTATTCAGACAGTAGAAGTCCATACCTTATTTTAGCAGGCTCTGATCTCGCATGAAAATGCGAAAACAAAAAAGTCCTGAAATATGTCATTTTGAGGAAAAAACCCCTCTCATTACTGCAGTTTTCTGCGAAAACACTTCTTTACACTCCAGAAAACGTCGCAAGGTTCTAAATAGGGACTATGTCTTATTTCTGTTTGCAAACTGTGTTTCTGTGGATAAATTACAGCGATAAGGGGATTTATCTGTAAAATGACATATTAGGTTGTCCCAAAAGTTTTGCCGGTTTTTTCAAACCGCTATAAAACTATGCACAATGAAGATCTGAGTGAGTTTCAACACGCATTCGATGCAGCTTTTCCTTCTCTTTCTTAAGGTCACATTTCCTAGCAATAATCCTGTATGCTTTTTTTGATATTTGTTACAATTCTTCACCCGTCATAATTATCTGCCCAAAGTTAGGCTAATTTTTAAAAATTTCATTACAATGTTCCGGAGGTGGTCAAGTATGACACAAATAGAACAATTCTCGGCCTACAAGGCGGTATTTTTACGTTCTCCTAAAATGCTGTCTTTAGCTTCAAAAAATTATTTCTTCGGATGTCTCAATTTTTGGCAAGGTCATGAACCACGCAACTGCAGCAAAAACATGAAAGCTCTTGAAATTTTTGCGAACTGGAACTTGATTGCTAATAAACAATAACTATGCAACATAACCAAGTTTGATTTGCTTTGAAAAATCAGCTTTTTGGAATTTTCGGTAACTTTACGTGGTAGACGTAATCAAAAATCCGCGGTTTTTCATAAATAAATGATTATAGCGGACTTGATAAACGTGATCCATGTAATCTAAAGTAGATACAATGTAGCCAAAGATTTGCTTTACGTAACATTTACTAGCGCTTTGTGGAAACAGCAGTATAAAAATTTTTAAAATTCAGGAAAGATTTGGCGTTAGTGGTGAACTGCTTAGAAAGCCATGGCGATAATATTGCAAAGACAGGGTAGATCAGAAAGCAAATATAGCAGTAAGAAAGAGTATAAAAATCTGAAGTAAATGATACCTAGATCGTCCATGAATTGGTGTTCTTTGGGTTTAAGTGAGCGATGAAAGAAGCCGACAAAACTTTCGGGACAACCTATTATTTCGCGAATTTTTTGTTTTCGCTTCACCGTACAAAATCAAAGCCTTCCAAAGTAACATATGGACATCTACTGTCTAAGTAATTTTTACGGATTTTTTTCGGCGAGCTAGCGACCCTCTGCGATTTTCTGGGACCAAACTCAAAATCGCAAAATTTGAAGCCTCATCTTTGAGAGCTTCGTTCTCGGGGGCTAGCTCATAGAATCTTGCGATAAGTCCATCATGGAGCGCAAGCCCTCTAATATTTTTAGAGAACAAGATTGTGAATTTAGGTTTAGTCATTGAAAAGTTATTGAATTTTGTCTGAATTACGCAAGAACTTTCGAGCCAACCTAATATCTTTCTTCCCCTTGTGTCTTTTTCCGCCATTTGAGCACCATTCTGTAGAGGAGGCTTCAACTTAGATAAGCAGGGCCGAGCGAATTACCAACCTCTCTTCATTTCTGTAGGATTACTGTAGGAAATTGGACAAGCATTTTAGGCCATTGAAAGCCGTATTCTGCCTCGGAATAAAACCGAACAAGCCAGAATCTCTTTTACCATCGTAATGGAAGCCGCTGAATTCGCATATGAAATTTCCAGTGATGCTTCTTTCCAAAGTTATCCCAGGTAAACCGTAATAACCGCACTCCAAGTATTTGTCAGAAATGTGATTACACGGTCAAAAAGCTGAAACACTCGTAAAAAGTTGTGTAGTGGAATCAGCGTGCGCGAAAACCCTAGTACACGATATCTCAGATTTGTTTGAAAAAATTTTGTCAGATGGCATATTTCACAATGGTTCCACATGGTGGAAGTTCTTACCATGATCCTACAGTAACGAAGGGCGACCGGTGATTCGATTGGTACTGTAAATCTAAGTTGAAGCCTCCTCTACAGGATTGTACTTGAACGGCAGAAAAAGACCCATTGGGAAGAGAGATATTGTTGATTGAAAAGTGTGTACTTACTTTTGGGACACCCTGTAGATTGGCTTGCGCGTAACGGGGTTTTCTAGGCAAGGACAGCAAGCTGTGCGCTCGGACTTACTCTGTTCACATGTTTAGACTGGCAACTTTAATAGGGTAATGCCTTGCACATCTTTTGGACTATCATCCAGGCGTCTCGATCCCCAGAAGCGACGTCAGCTGCGAAAAGAGTTGCAGTCAGAAGCAAGTTCGACAGCTTGTAATCTCTAAGCGCAAATCGCAGAACTCGAGTGCAGCTGCGGGTCCGAAGTTAACAGGCTACTCAATCAGATCACCCATGATTTGAGCGAAATTCTTCGAATTGCACAAAAAATGGCCGTAGGAAGAAAATCTGTAAAATTTTTTGTGTTGGAAAGATTTCCCTTCTTGATGTTGATCGAGCACATCTTGGCATCGATAAAGGTGAGAAGGCGTATTGAAAGCTTCAGGCTTCCCTCTACTGAACAGTATGGAAAACTTGGTATCAAAATCCGACCGACCGCCGAAAAAATGCGTTTGAAAATGAAATTTTCAAAAGTGCCCGGGATCTTTCTTTACAAATAAGACAAGCATGTGCAACCTTCTGCATTATTCCTCTGATTTTTAGAAACAAATTCAACGGAGATCCCAGAACGACCTAGGAACACTAACATAAAATCTGTGCAAATGTTTGTCATGCAATTCCGAGCACAGCATAGACCTGGGTGGACCGACGCTGATGTAAAACAGTGGGAGATGAAGATGACCGAGGTTTTCCAAAGGTTGGACAGATTCTTGAGCTTGATACAAAGTCTATCTAGCGATAAGCATCATATCAGCATTTGCAGAAATTTTTCCGATCTTGTAAAAGTGTTTGCCTATTCGCAGTCCTATGTGGAGGACGAAATGGTGAGAGGTGCAAGGATCATGATTCCGTACCTGTCCGTTGGCTTTGTGATTATGTGCGTGTGCAGTGTAGTATCAGTGATGAGTAGAGCGTATTATAAACACCAGCAAAACTTGTACAAGGTAAGTATTAGCTGATCCAAAAGTAATGGGGCACCTAGAAAATAAATGCATTTTCTCAAATAGAAAAGCTAATTGGAAGTCCAAGTTTTGGCAGATGTTAGTACATAACAAAACCTTCTGATCGAGGTCTATAGTTGGGCACTGTCACGTGGCGTTATTTTTATAAGCGCTTATAATTAAAGCTCATCACTTTAAGTGATTTTGAACTTTGAGCAGCAGCGCCGCAGTGGAACGAGTGAGCCTACCAAAGATATTTGCGCAGCAATAGGTGAGGGGACTGTCACCAAATCCACGATAACTCGGTGGTCCCAAGGCTTTAGAAGAGAAGATGTAGCATTGGGTATCAGGAAACATATTACTTAACTCTTTCATCAAGGTAATCAAATAAGCTCAACCTTAACAGTTGCTTTCTGATAGTGCTTTCTACGCTCTATCCATACATATGCAAATTACTTCGACTTTTCTCACTTTCAAAAAATTATGGGCCAAAACCTGAATTTTAGTCTGAAATCTGCGCCAAACACCGCCCTTTTTCGAATGAAGTGCCTTTTTGTATGAAATAATAGACGATTTTTGAATATTCAAATAATCATTAGAAAGAGCCTGGAAAGCTCTTTCGAATGATATGCCACATATTGAGGGACTTTCAGGTGCAACAGCCCAAATTCGGATGGCGTTCGAAAAAGTCTGATTGACTTTTTTGAAGCGCCGCTCGAAGGAATGTCGGTGAGATGCTGCAAGGTGCTGTCAAGGTAATCTGCGAAGGTCACTTTATACAAAAGCGTTCAAATTGCTGGTTGTTCATAGCTAATCAGAAAGAGATCTTGAAAAATGTTTTAAAAAAAATCGAGGTGCCCCATTACTTTTGGATCACCCTAATAGGAAGACATTTCAGCACATCTGGGCCACCCCCTTCTTTTCAGACGGCTTTGGCTATTATGGCCTGTCTCACACCGTTGTTTGGATGTGCTACAGCTCTTGCTGGAATGTTCCTATGCGGAGTACGATTTGCTTCGATATTATGCGTCGTTCCATTTTTAGCGCTTTCCATAGGTAACTGATTTGAGTTCTTTGATGACCTCTCAGAACGAAATAAACAAAGCAACTAAAAATGAACCACAATTTTTTCCAAAACTATTGCATGAATATAAATCTGATTGGTACCGCCGCTAGGCATCTCGCACCTTACAGATTTGCTTGCATTCAACACATGAGGATACCTTGCCGGCTACTTATTCTTTCCTCTCGTTTTCCTTTAGCTTACCAAGGCACAAAACAGAAACATTTTCTTCGCTTTGAACTGTCTTCTTTCGAAAAGTAGATTAGCAAGACTGGGAGAGATATTTCGTTTCAAGGTGTGGATTCCTCATACCTAATGATACATGAATGGCAGAGAGTCACGGAACAAAGGCGCGAATCGTCCAGGAGAAAAGACAGTGTGGGAGATCGGTTAAGCGAAGTAAGTCAACAGTTTTTCAAAGATATCAACCTTTAGCATCCATAGAGATCAAATAATATTTACTTGTGCGCCGCACTCTTCTACAGGTGCTTTCCGAAGTAGGTCCCGCCATCCTGATCTCATGTTTGACCAACTTTCTCGCGGATTTTGTTGGCGCATACTTTTCATCTCCAGAGCTCAGGCTTTTATGCATTGCTAACATGCTTTCCATGGTCATGGCATTCATATACCAGGTGCAGTATTAATACCTCAGTGAAGAAGTGCGTTTTACAGCAGTTAATTTAGATGACATTCTACGCTGGCCTGATGTGTGTCGTAGGTCAATACGAATTTAGTAGGGACGAAAAAGAGAAAAATAAAATGAAAATAAACATTGCCGACAACAAAGTGGATATCGCCCGCCATCGTCATACTCTGAATGTAAGTAGCATCAACTTTAAAAGGGTTAGTGCCTTGCTAAAGGCTCAGAGCATAAATACAGTCTTTTACAACCCGGAGTAGGCGAAAGTTTCCAAGTGGAGCAGCGCGTCCGCACCGCCACGGCTTAGCGAGATAGATTAGAATGAAGAGACGCAGACTGCAAAGCGGCGCGTATCGTTGCGAAGCGGACTCCCGCCAGTCCAATTTTCACCTAAACTGAGTTGAAATTTACTATACCTTGTACGACCTCCATTACTGCGCGATGTCATGCATGGGGACCGCCGCGCACGTTTTAGTGTGCGCCGCTTTTGAAATGTGACAAATGAGACAAATCGACACCTAAAGACACCTATACCTACACCCTTTACCTTGCCTCTCAGTAATTACCAGTAGGTGGAAGAACCGAAAATGTTTCCACGTTCTTTATTCTATCAACTCTAAATTTTGAGGGAACTTTCAAAGCGAATGGGTGAGTTTCTGCGTTATGAACGAAGTCATTCATAAGCGCTAATGCTAGAGATTGGTAGCAAAAGCAAAAAAATAGCAGTTTCGAGGTTTGTTTTTCTGCTTGTGTGATCAAGTGACTTCAGCGACAACCATCCAAGCTCCACCAGATCACAAAGCCTGTGATCAGCAAGTGTATGAGAGAATACGTGAACATTGTAACCACACCTGCCGTCTATATAGGCATCTTCGTTATCTACATCGCATACCTGGCATTCAGCATTTACGTAGGAGCTTTCTTAATTAAACTAAAACTCTTTCGATTCGTGACTTTTAGGGAGTAACCAAAATCAACATAAGCTTGACAGCAAGTAAACTGTTTGCTGCAGACTCTCCGTTGCTGGAGGTGATCAGGCATACATTTATTACAGTAAGTGCGAAGAAAAACGTTTTCTATTTTTAGCTGGATTACTATCGGGTGAAATACCAATTGCCCGCGTATTCGATGGCCACAGTGTTTGTTTCAAACCCTGGAAACCTATCGGACTCACATAGACTTCGACGAATCAATCAGTGCGTATCCATCAGTCTGCTGGTAATCGTACTTCAAGCCTAATTAAGAATATTAAAATTGTTTGCATCAGTACATGATCAAGCACTCGAAACAAAAGAGACAAAATTCCCTATCGAGTTGAAGCGAGTATCTGCTAGTTATGTCTTGACGTTTGCAAGAATTGCTGCGAATAGTACTTCTTATTCTAATACTATTAGTCTTCGCATCTCAACAGGCATCGTACATATCTCTCGTTCCTTTTAGTGAACCTAAGCAGTAAATGTTTTCTGAGTTTTTTTTTGCGTCTGTGCATAAGGGCCTGCATGATCGCGAGAGCCGGACGTGCGTAGGCCATTGCGAGGTGCACATCCGATGTCCATCCCACGGCTCAGGCCCCCGCCAGAGTGCCGAAGCCACGCCAGCGCTACGCCGGCGCCGAGCCAAGGTTTCGATCGATACACGTGTATTTCGTTGGGGCAGGGCTAGCTGACCTAGTTCTCAGCCAAATTCTCAGTTAGAGCCCCGCCCCAACGAAATACACGTGTATCGATCGAAACGCTGGCTCGGCGCCGGCGTAGCGCTGGCGTGGCTTCGGCACTCTGGCGGGGGCCTCAGGTAGGTGCTAGACTTACCCTGTTTAAAGGCAGTGGCTCAGCAATTTCTCAACTTCAAGGTTTTTCGCTTACCTGAGGTTCGACGCGTTGATTCTGATAATATACCTTGAAGAGCGCGAAAATGGCGAAAACCAGCATTTTCCAAGGCCCCTCATTTTGAATTTGGATGAGTGGAACCTTCCCCGCCATGATCAGAGACGTAGAGTCGTTCCGGCACCCTCATGTTTACAGCATTGTGACATGCCGCTCTGGCCTCGTCCGAACGCGTGTAAGAATGGCTCGCGCGCACGGATTTGAGAGCATTTTTTTAGGCAGGGGCTGCATGTTGTGCGCTCGGACCTGCTCTGTTCTCATGTTTGGGATGCAAGCAATCTCTCATATCAAAATTTTGTTTGGTGTATTGTTATTTGGTTCAAATGGTTTTGCCGAGCCACTGCCTTTAACAGGTTCATTTGGTTCACCCCTTCTGCTATTGGGCAGTGCATTGATCTGACCAAGATCCAGTGAGTGCACCGGAAGAACTGGTCAAAAAAGAAAATAGATGAATGTTAGCATAGATAGTATACAGTATGGCCTGTTTCGCCTCTACCCCTATACAGGTATCAAGAAGAGTAGACCACTTCCGATAAGTCTGGCATCTGCCTCAGTGACCTCGGACGAGCGCGGCGCAATGGCCGTACGCACGTCTAACTCTCGTGATCATGCAGGCCCCCATATCTGCATTCGTAGGTTGGCAGTTAAGTTTTGCAGCTTTTTCTATAGTTTTCACATAATAAATAGGATCAACCATTCTCTGGCGTAATATAGATTGCTTGCAAGCTATAGACGTGCGCAAACTATTCACTTTATAACAAAGTAGAGGTGTACTCATTTTCCGAAAATGGAGTGTTTGATTGCGGCTACCCAATCGGCGCTGTGATGATTTATGCGCGCGAATGCTAGCTGCTGTATGGGCCTTAGCTAGTTAGTTGCTAGTTAAGGCCCATACACGGGACGGGGTCTGAGAAGCGACGCGTCATATCTCACTACTCTAGAAATCTTTCTTTTTCTCTATCTGACTCATAAAGGTTCTCATACTTTGATACATGCGCATGATATACCAGGTTAGTGTCATACAAGATTAGTTTTCCATTATTTTGTGAGAATTGAGAAGTAATCCCCTGGGAATCTAGGGATTATCCTAACCTCAATTCCGTTTTTTCTTCCGGAAAGCTCAGTGAAAACGCTGTACAATTGCACTGATATACTACTTATATGTACTATACTAAGATATACTACTGCACTTTTAAGCATGTTTTCAACAAAAAAATGGGGTTTAGAGCAGTACGTGGCAATTATTATGCGCTGCGCGAAGTTTCAGCCAAATTTGTAAAAATCTATAATTTTTTCCTCTTATACCATATACTTACCGTAACCCTCACTGCGACGTCAGAATCTCAAACCCTAGCTGCGTCTGTAGCTTACGTCGCGATCTACATGATGGGAAGATATGAATGCGTTATGTGCAAAGAGAGAAGTTCAAAAGTAGTTGCAAAACTTAGTTAACAGTCTAATATCTACCAGGCTGGCCAAGCTCTCCGCGCGGCTACTGACAACCGACGCTCGCGATCCCCGCGTGAATGCTTGATTCTCACTTGACGCTCACTTCTAACGATGCGCATCGTCGAGGCTGTGCTTCTCTTTTCGTTTTTTGAAAATAAAAACCTTAGTTTTTCTGTTTTAATCTGTAAGAAGCAAGGTTGCATTGCGGTAGCTATGGAAGGAATACTAGGACATACTATACCATGCTAATTGAGTATTGTGATTAGATTTCAAACAACCTCCCCATCAAATTCCTTTGCTCTGTAATCATGCACCCTCCGTTCACGTTCTCCTGACCCTTATAAACAGTAGTGGAATTAGCCGGAACAACGACAAGATTTGTAGCCCAACGTGGTAACACTATGTTAGAGAGTGAATACACCATATGCAACTCGAAAGTTATGAGAATAGTTGCAAAACTTGTTAGCTGCCAACCTAATTATCAGTCGCATTACAGGCTTGTAGAAGATATGGAAGGCCTGAATGGAACGTGGGGTAAAAATTGGGGACCTGTAGGAACGATGTTCTTCATGAGAGATTACGAAAAATACCTACAAGGTGTAATATAGAAGAATTGACGATTTTTGTTGACTCTAGTCTAACATGTACGACTTTTTAGAAAAAGCGGATGCCTTGCCACCCGATAAAGACAAGCTGCAATACTTCCTGGCCGACCTGGACTACCATATATATAATGGTCTTGTAAAGCTGCGAAATGGCACTGAAGAAGGGTATGTAGGAAACATTTGTTGACTACTGAAAATGTCCCAAAATCAACCATTTCTGATAAAAACACGGCTTTTTCTTTAGACATATCTTCATAAAACCACGGGATAGGTAGAAAAAAGAATATCGAGCAGTTGTTCAAGAATCCTGGCAATTCTGACAAAATCCAGGGAACACGCATGCATATTCTCCTTCTGACGCTTTTGGGCTTCCCTAGACTTTCTATAAGCCGTGCGCGCGGAGATCAAGTCCGATAGAAAAAGCTGGACTCTGAAGTAAGAAAATCGTCTTGGAATAAAGCGGCGGTAGCCAATCCCGCCTCCTTGACAAGTTTTGACGTGGTTAATACATTAGATCTACAGCATTCGCCATTTGGTATACACCAAGCTGGTACCACTACGTTAATAACTGTTTATTCGATAGTAGCGGAGCAGCCGCTGACTATTAACAGTGAATATGCGGAACAGCCGCTAACGATAGTGGTAATATCGAACCAACACCAGAACTGAGTATTTAGGCCCTTTTATGCCACTATTTTGGGCGTGGTATGCGTGCGTGAATCGCAAGGCGCGGGCTGCGTGAATCGCAAGCGCTGCGTGAATCGCAAGGGAAGATAGCTGGAATTATTATCATATATATTTGATAGCCTAAACCTTGTAAATCTTACAAAAGTGACCTGAGCCTGATTGGTCTTCTCTAGTCTGAGATGTTGACAGCGAAATATGGGACAAGCAAGAAATTGGTTGCTTTTAATTTCATAGTTTGATAGTTATTTGAAGTTCCGAAGGGATGCCTAATGTGAGCGAAGATGTAGTAGTATTTTGTAAGTGCGAAAAAAGTAGTCAACCTTTGAAACAAAGTTAACATGTTCGAAAATGACCACACTTGCGTGGCCCAATACTTGGAAACCACAGAATTTGCTGAGTCTTAGCCCATGGGAGTTATTGACATGCTGATTACAAATTTAATACTCTTATGCTTTTAGGTCTTTTATGATGTTTACCTACCTATACGATGGTAGGCCAAAACATCAATGTGCGTATTGCGTAATGGCCATATCTGACATTGCTAACGAATATCATGTCATCTCGAACCTCCTTGCCCCAATACGATTCCCAGGTGTGGCGTGTCATACTCCACGCTTGACCCTGGTTATGCTTAATAGGGCTTTTCTATTATTCGACGGTAGATATACGGACAAGTTAATATCTCATGTGCTTGTATCTCGCATACTGGTATTATCCGGCTAACTGTTTACGAATATCATGTTATGCCATTATCGGTACTCAACTATGTTCCCCTTTCCTTATTGACTCCTCAATACGACCCCTCAGGTGTGGCGTGCCACTTGTCCCTGGTCATAATCAACTAGGCGGGCAGAAGTAAAGAATCAAGATGAAGGAAAAACAATAATGAGAACTTGAATTATCAACCGTTTCGTGAAGATTTCCAAAGATACTTTACATCTCTGAAGTTTTCTTCGGCACTTGAATTATTTGTTTGTTGGTTTTTATGAACGGCACTACCTTTCATTATTCTAGAAAAATTAACTATCAAATGCTGCAGTAATGGTTAACATTTGACAGAAAAGGTGGTAAATCCAAATCTTGCGTTGATGCTGTGATATTCCGCATAACTGCTGTCACTTTTGTCAGGGATAAGCAACTTGACCGATTTTTTTTCATTACTGGATACCATGGAGAAAAGCTCTCCGATTGGGACCAACGAGGTGCAATGTTGCGAGATTGGAGGAAAGTGATCGATGAATACAAGTAAATTGGTTTGAGCTATATTAAAGTAATAGTTTGAGCAACTCTCACACTCAACAAACAATATATTTTAGCACAAAACAATTATGCTAAAATACGCTAATGCCAATGAACATTCTTGCCATTTCTAGGGAGTTCGAACCTTCGGTATTCCATGAAGATGGTGTTTATCTAGACCTCATCGATAATATGGCTAGAGATACATGCGAGGTTGGTTTTTGTAACTGCCGCTTTGCTTCCGCCGTAAGTTGCAGTTTTCTCAACTGTTCAGTCAGTACTCGGTACACTCGTTTGCATGGCTGTTGTATGTTTTGTATTCCTCAACAACTTTTTCACAGTCGTCATAGCTAGTCTTTCAGTGCTCTCCATCTGTGCAGGTAACATATACTAGAGCTTTCGCACATGTTTTTCAACACGAGGTTTTTACAGGAATTCTTGGTATACTGTCATGGTGGGGAGTGGACCTCGATCCTATTACTATGGCTGCCACCATCATCTCCATCGGCTTTTCGGTGGACATACCAGCGCATGTTTCTTACCATTATTATCAAGCATGTAAGTTGGCGTAATCAGAAAGAGCATAGCTTTTATAGCATAAGAGAAAGACAGTTGACCATATTCTACTGAAATTGCGGATTGGTTGAAAGCCTCATAATCAACCTAGGTTATAATCAGTTTTGGCTTGGTGGGATCTCACCACCAAGCCAAAACTGACATTCTAATGTGAGCGTTGACATTCTAATGTGACTTAATCAGTATTGGATTAAGTCACATTAGAATGTCAACGCTCTACAACTCAGACAGCGGATAGGACCCCTCCGCCGGAGAAATGGCAGGGTCGCGGCGTTTCCCCAGCGGTGGGTCTGCCACTCGTCCGCCGGAGCCCTCCCATTTCTGCTCCGGATACCTCCCATTTTCTGCTCCGGAGACCTCCCATTTCTGCTTCGGAGACCTCCCATTTCTGCTCCGGAGACCCCCATTTTCTGCTCCGGAGACCTCCCATTTTCTGCTCCGGATACCTCCCATTTTCTGCTCCGGAGACCTCCCATTTTCTGCTCCGGATACCTCCCATTTTCTGCTCCGGAGACCTCCCATTTTCTGCTCCGGAGACCTCTCATTTTCTGCTCCGGAGACCTCCCATTTTCTGCTCCGGATACCTCCCATTTCTGCTCCGGATACCTCCCATTTTCTGCTCCGGATACCTCCCATTTTCTGCTCCGGACACCTCCCATTTTCTGCTCCGGATACCTCCCATTTTCTGCTCCGGAGACCTCCCATTTTCTGCTCCGGAGACCTCTCATTTTCTGCTCCGGAGACCTCCCATTTCTGCTCCGGAGACCTCCATTTTCTGCTCCGGATACCTCTCATTTTGTGCTCCGGAGACCTCCCATTTTGTGCTCCGGAGCCCTCCCATTTCTGCTCCGGAGACCCCCCATTTTCTGCTCCGGGGGCCTCCCATTTTCTGCTCCGGATACCTCCCATTTCTGCTCCGGATACCTCCCATTTTCTTCTCCGAATACCTCCCATTTTCTGCTCCGGAGACCTCCCATTTTCTGCTCCGGATACCTCCCATTTTGTGCTCCGGAGCCCTCCCATTTCTGCTCCGGAGGCCTCCCATTTTCTGCTCCGGATACCTCCCATTTCTGCTCCGGATACCTCCCATTTTCTTCTCCGAATACCTCCCATTTTCTGCTCCGGAGACCTCCCATTTTCTGCTCCGGATACCTCCCATTTTGTGCTCCGGAGCCCTCCCATTTCTGCTCCGGAGGCCTCCCATTTTCTGCTCCGGATACCTCCCATTTTCTGCTCCGGAGACCTCCCATTTGTGCTCCGGACCCCTCCCATTTTCTGCGGCGCGGCTCTGCCAAATGTGGCAGAGCCGCGCCGGAGAAATGGCATACCTTTGCAGCAGGGCCGGAGAAGCGTCCCATTTGCCTGCCAGTGATGTCACCGCGGCGGACCGCCCATTTGCCCCGCTCTCATTGGTCAACTGTGTCCGGCCGACTCTGGCAGATTCGGACTGTCCGGCGGAGGGGTCCGGTCGATTGTCTGAGAAAAGCTTGGCGCGTGACATTTCAATAATCCATCATATTGCCTTCTAAATTGTAAAGCATAAGTGAGATCTGTTTCAATTTGCTTGTTCCTGGAAAGCAGTAAGCCATTGTTTGAATTCCCAACTTCTGAAAAGTACCTAGGTTTCTAAACAAGCCAGTCATTCAGGATCAAGAAATCTTTTTTTTAAAGGGAGGCATCTTTAAAGATCGTGTCCGTTCATAAAGAGACGTTCATGAATGTGCCGTCTGAACGAAACTCTTCTTCACGTAGAAAGCGTTTTTTCCATCGAAGTTACGATCAACATCAGCTGTTTTTATTCTTGGCATGTATGTATCATTTGATCCGTGTCCATCTTTGTAGTCAACCAAGATGTCATCCATTTCTAATCAACGAGGCCAAGTTTTGTAGCCTTTCTCAAATCCTGAAAGTCGATTGTATTAGCGAAACATTGTCTCACATGCCGACATGAGGGCATGAAATAACATCTACCTTAAGCTGAGATGTCCCTTAGTGCTCTTCGTCTTTGGTTGCCAAGAAAACCTTAAAGTCAACAAAAACATTAACTTGACCAAAATGAATGAATTCGAATGAATGTAATCCTGCCGTAACCAAAGAACATCAGCGCCGTGCCATCATCGCGTACATGACAAAGAGGTATTAGGTTGGTGCATAATTCTTGCACAGAAATAGGTACAGACCGCATTCATTCATTCATTCTTTATTCATACTCGACGGTTTCTTACAAGCATGTAAAATACCGTGATGAATATGTCTATGGCTTCAGGTGTTCAGTAGTGAGACTGCATATGATTTTCCAAGTCTTTTCCATTGATAAGGGTCTTTTAGTTCTTTTTGCCAGTAACGAGTGAGTTTGGAGTTAATACAATGAGTTCGAATATCGTCTTCCCATCGAATTCTGGGTCTGCCGTCACCGAAACATCGACCGGTGGCTGGTATCCAATTCGTTAAAGCTCTTGTCCATCTTTCTTCTCCTTCACACACTAAGATTTTCCTTGCAAATCTCCATTTTCTTTTCCGTATCACTCTACCAACGTCCTTGAGCTTTGTAATGGAACGAATCCAATTTGACGATTTCTGATCTTTTAAACGAAATCCGAGCATCGATCTCTCTATCGCTCTTTCACATCGGAGAAGTTTCATTAGCGAACTTTTTGTTAACGCCCATGTTTCACAACCATATGTCAGTGTCGGAAGAATTACGGTTTTAAAATATCGACGCTTCAGATAAATAGCCACATTCTTATTGGTGAGAAACTTTCGAATTTTGCCGAAAACATTCCATGCCATTCCAATGCGTCTGTTTATCCTTTTATCGTGATTTCGCAGGCATTGCAGCAATTGGCCGAGATAAACATAGGAATATACACGTTCGATGACAATGTCATTCAGTTTGATGGTACAATTTGTCCAAACATTTCCTCTATCTTCACCCATCCATTTTGTTTTACTTTCGCTGATTTGAAGTCCAATTCGCCCGCACGCATCAAGGAGCTTCACTGCCATCGACTGTAGTCGTACTGGACAGCTTTCTACAAGCACAACGTCGTCAGCGAAAGCCAGGTAGCGAAGTTGTCTTCCATTAATATCATATCCATCTTCATCCCATTGGATCGATTCAATTGCAAATTGAAGACAGGCAATGAAAATAATTGGTAATAAAGCGTCTCCTTGACGGGCTCTTCTCTGCACCTTAAATGGAGCACTGATATGATCAAGTTGGAGTGATGCAGTTGCTGTTTGGTATAGGAGCTGTATCATTGAAATCGTGTCAGTGTCAACGTCAAAGTAACGAAGAGCATCCCAGATTGCATGGAACTCGATCGTATCAAAAGCTTTTTGAAAGTCAAGGAAGAGAAGGGCAAGTGGTAAATGGTATTCGTGTGTTTTCTCAATCACTTGATTTATAGCTTGTAAATGGTCAGTAGTTGAAAGTTCGGTCGAAATCCAGCTTGTCCAGCCAATCCAGCTAGGAATGTTACCATTTCAAACAGCCGGTTTATGATATTCGCGAGCTGAGGTGCGATGACTTCTACGCCATGCTTAGCAGCTCTGGACCGAATTCCATCAATACCAGGGGCTTTGTTACCACGGATCTTCGAAGCTGCTTTCCTCAGTTCATCAGCAGTGATTAGATTGAATATAGGCCGATGAATTCGAAATTCAGAAGATGCTTTTCTTCTTGTATAAAGGCCAGCAAAAAAGGTTTTCGCGATTGATTCAGCTTCGGCAGTATCTGATCGGCGTAACTGACTGATAAATTCGTGTTGTCGGACGAGCTCAAGATGGCCTTGTTTTATACGGCTAGATCTTATGGCCCGCTCTAGTACGAAACGGTGATGCTGATGAAGGTCGTCTCTTATGGACCATCGAAGAATCTTGCAGACAGTCGAGTAATGTATCTGAGCACCAGAAGAGTTCGCGTTTCCCATACCAAATTTCAGCTCACGTCTCAGATGAAGAAAAGACCGTGTCCGTTCAGATATACGTTCTAGTGGTTTCCAGCGTAATTCTGCGCAGGCTGCAGCTTCTTTAAAAGAGATAAGCATCTTCCTCCAAGAGTTAACCGGATCATCTAGAACTACAGTCGCAGATGAAATTTCAGCGATGAAAGGATCATTGAGCAAAGCGGCCTTCATTTTCATCTCACCGTAATCGTGAGGTAGTTGGTGAGAACGCGCGACTATATGCGTTTTGGTACAAACGTTCACGTGAGCTCGGATGAGTCGATGATCACTCCCAGCATTGAACCTATTGAGAACTTCTACATTAGTTATCATTCTTTTTTGGCGCGTCAGTACGTAATCTATTTCTTCCAAAATTTGGCCATTCGGGGATCGCCAAGTCCATCTTCGCCTGTTCGGTTTTTGAAAGAATGAGTTCATTATGTAGAACTTTTCCGACTCAGCAAAGTCAGCCAACGCTTGTCCTTTGTTGTTGCGCCTCCCCAAGCATTTGTCGCTTACATAGTCGGTTTGAAATCCTTCTTCTCCTACGCGGGCGTTAAAGTCTCCGACTAAAATATCGTACGCATAAAGTTGTGGCGAAATTGCGTGCTTAAGTTTATCTATAAACTTCTCGTATTCTTCTTCCTGCCACGACGCGTAAGCTATCGTAACCCTCATTGACCTTCCACGTGAGCGAAAGTGTATTTGGATGATACGATCAGAGAGGAAGGTAACTCCCGTGCATTGTCGCTGTAAACGCTCGTTGACCAATACTACCCGTGCATTGTCGCTGTAAACGCTCGTTGACCTACTCCTCTACAAGTACTTTCTCCATTTCGTCTCCCGCTGTTATAAAACTGAAGTCCGGAACTGCTCCGTTTTGCAGAAATGGTACCGCTACGTCGTGTTTCACTTGATCCTACTATGTCGAATTTTATCCTACTCAACTCTTCCTCAAGGGCCGTTAGCTTCTCCTCCGACGCTAAAGACCGTACATTGTAAAAACATACGCGAATTTGTTGTTGTCGGCGTTGG